GGAAAGAAGAAGAAGAAGCCCCAAGGGAGATCTTCACAGTTTCTCCATATATATGCATGCCTCCAAGAAGCTTCATGACAAGAAGCGAAGAGGGCTGTCGTTGAAGGTACCTCTGGCCCCAAAGCTTTACCTCGCCGTGCAGTCTCACAGCGGGCATTAGTACTAAAGCAACCACTGGACGGCGTCAAAGCACGATGGCTTGCCTGTAGCGCTCATAAGCAGTATGAAAATAGCTAGCTCCGTAGTCTGTTCGGGAAAGCCGTCAGGAGGAGCTACCGGGCAGAAACGACACGAAGCAAGCCTCCTTTGAGTTATCGCCCTGAGCTCTCCTGGAACTGTGCTCTGCAGTGGGTACCGAGGCCGTGGCTTGCGGGTTTGCTTTTGATGACCTGTCCCCGTTGTACGGCGTCGATACAAGTCCTTGCACATGCGAAGAACTGTTCCGTTCTCGCTGTAACTACTCCGTGAGCTACATGCACAGGACGGAGGAGGAGGATATACTGCGTGCACGACTGTCGTATCCGCATTGAGTACGGATACTCCATAACTATGTCTGCCGATAAAAGGGGGTAGTGCAATTCGCTGGTCACAATGCATCGCCAGAGACATGGGGCCCGGAGGCAGAGCTGAACGGCAGCGCAAGGAACATGTCTGGAAGGAAACGTCACTCTTCTCCAGAGTACGAAGTATGTTCCACTAGTTATACTAGTTATGGATACTCGTGGTCACGGAGTCCCTCTTCCTCTCTCCGCGGCGTGCTACCGTTACCAGCGGCTGCCATTGGCGACAGAGATATACTATCCATGCCTGGCTTGGCAATCTTCTGGCTGCAACTGTTCAACGACGCTGTCACCCAACCGATGGGCAGCCAAGCGGGGAGCAAGGCCGGGGATACATGCTTTAGCCCGCCTCTCGACATATCACTAATGCGGTGAGATTGTGGATTGTGGCTAGTTCGAGTCCATCATCGGAAGCGAGCCAGGCTATAACTAGGCAGAGAGCGTCATTCCGCCGGAAGCATTAGCCGAAGCACTCTTTAAGGCAGCCAAGGGTAATGCGGTTAAAGCGGTTTTCCAATGGCGGGTGTAAGTGCATTGAAAAAGCAAGCCTTTTATACGCTTGTACACCTTGGTGCATCAGATAGTTATGCCTCTACTTCGTATATGAACCTGGATGAATTCCAACGGATGCTTTGCTCCGCAGAGCAGAGCTGCAGTTGAAGACCTTCAGCTTCGCTTCGTGCTGATATCAGGGTTGGGTAACTAGCTATTACCTCTCACTCCCTCGCCCTCGTTCGCAGAAGCCAGAGAACCCGCAACTGTCTGGCGGCCGAAAGAGTGTCAGCCGAGATTCTGGGTTGATCGTCCCCATCACACTAACTATGTACTTAGTTAACTTATAATCACGAGGGCGGATCGGCTTTCCACTGTGGGTTTATCTGTGAATCTCTCCTGAAAGACGGCAGTTACTCCGCAACACGTTTCTCCAGAAGGAAGACGGGCTCCTTAGTTATTGTGACCGAGTGGGCTGAAATCACTGATTCATCACACGGGCAAACACCCTGGGAGCCGCTTTTGCGCCTGGCATTCTCGATTCCAGCCTGGCTGGCTCCATAATAAAATAAGTAGTTAGCTAGTTGTTAGGACTCTATTATTGTGATTGTACTTATGGCCATTCCGTCCGTATAACTAGGGCAGTGCGGAGCCGTCCACATTGCATCTAACACCATCCTAGGTCGGTCGTCGTTCGATTGAGTTCCTAGCTAGGCGGGAATAGTTGGCGGTCCCTTGTTGATATCGTCAGTTGCTATGACTATATGACACGGCAAGGCGGCAGCTCTAACTAGTTAACTAATATAATATCCGAGCATCATATGATCGGGGATCAGAAGGGAGCCAATTTCGACAAGCGATGCTGGGGCCAGGAGAGCTGTCAGAAACTCTGCAACACCATCACATCACCGAGACTGGCCACTGGAACTGTCTCTCTCAAGCTCGCAATACTTAGCACCGTTTCGACAGAGCGTACGACGAAGGCTGTGACAGATCGTCGTGATGGACATTCTTCACGAGGCTCTCGCGGCTAGTTAACACTACGTGATGTCCCTATCCGTTTGACTGTGGCCGGAGAGCAGCCTCCTGACGGCCCGGCACATCCATCGCACAAGCAGGTGAGAGCATCAAGCATCAAGGTATCTGTAGGGACGAAAGCGTTACTTCGAAGAGCCCCCGCATCTTAAAATCCGTTGTTGTTGTTGTTGTTGTTGATGATGATGATTCTCTCTTGATACTACTCCGTACGCGCTCGACAGTATGTACTCCATGTGCATCTGAGCCAAACGCCCACGGTTTAGGCATCCTCAGGCCCACAAGGCAAAGGGGGCGCCCATGAGATCCGTCATGGCCCAAGCAAAGCCTTCCTTTCTTTTCCTCGCTTCATCAGGGCTGGCGCTGGTGTGAAGAGGCCGGCTGGAGAAGAAGAGTGACGTTGCAGGTGAAGCCGCCTCCGTCTCTGCGCAAAATGGCCGCCCAACTTGCCCACCACCAGGGGCGTTCTAGAGGCCAGGAGAGAGGCTGGGAGAACAAGAGGCTGGCTGCGTCCTCCCGCATGCTCCCGCTCTCTAGCCATCCTGTTCGTCTTTGGGGGTTCCCCTAAGCGCCACCCTCTGCCTTTGGCGTTTGGTGGTGCCAATGACTCGTGGACTAGTCAAGCGGAACATATGCACTGCTCGACTGTATTTTGATATCAACTAACGAAAGCGAAGCCCCATCCCCATACCGCCATTCTTGATCGCCCGTGGAGCTGTGAGCTATGTATGATGCTCTGTTCTTGACATGGTGAGGTGGCTATTTGGGCTGTAGCTACGGAAATTATCCTGTCTTCCACTGCGGACTATGTGCAGATCTATCCACCAGCCACGGCTCTTCGCCGCTAACCCCGTCTACCCATTTTATCTATTATTGCTCCGTATTACTCGCGAAACACCAGGAGAGGATACAAGGTGTGCAGCCATACTGGCACACATGTTCAGCCTCAATAGTGGCGTTTGGAGATGGTTTCTTCTTCAGGAGAACAGGGAGTTCTCTCCTCCTGGCCTGCGTTGAAACTGGACCGCAGACGCCTGGGATGGCTGGGAGCAGCCGGAGGGCCACGGCCACGCTGGACACAGGGACAGAGCTCTAGGAATTTCGCCACAAGGAAAGCTCATCTGCGTCGCTGCATGTCCTAGCCATGATGGCCCGCACCCAATGGAGGTTCTCCGGAAAGCGAGTGTTTGTGTCAGTGTTCGCTGTTCAGGCTGCGTTCATGCAGGGGTGCAAATCATGACTACACTACAGGAAGCAGACGGAACACTGGATCCCGATATCGCAAACTGAGCTGTAAATGATA